TAACACTAGAAATACAGATAACACAAATGACTGCTTGTTAATTAAGTGTGTGAAAGGCACATTTCCGGTGATGATGACTTTGAGAATTCCAGACATTTCAGAGCAAAGTAGGATGCACTGCCAGGGACTTAGCTGCAACCTCAACGTGCTAAATCACTATTAGTAAGGGCAAGGTTTGGTCTCATGAGTTTAAAAAGTCAGGTCAGAGTACAAAGTCAAATGGCTAATAATTATTATAATATATTATTTCCATAGCATTTTAAATCAAATTTCTTTTCAAATCTTGTTTCATTTTGGTCTCTCTTTGACACTAGAAGCGATGTTGAACTGATTTGCACTAACAGCATTGTTTTCAGATAAATAAAGCACCAAACACTTTAATTTACTTTATTTGCTCAGCCACAGATCTTGAGATGAGCAAAATGAACCAGAACCAGAATAGTGATCTCTTGAATTGCAGGCTGTCATAGTTCCACTAGCATTTGAAAAACTCAGAGAAGCTAAATTAGTCTAAAGTTTTTGCTACTAGTTGAATCACTGTGGAAGTATGATAGAAAACTCTTTGGTGATGGGACAAAACTTGTTGTCACAGGTAGGTATCAGAAGAATGGAATTTTTCAAGGTAATAGAGGGAAGGCAAGAAATTAAATTGAAATAACAGTTAAGAATATTTAGATAAAACAGGAGTGTTATGGGGATTAGATGTAGAAATCTTAGAAAAGATTGTAAAACAAATCCTCAGGGGCACGCGTAGACAACATTGTGCAAATATCGTAACAAGATTTGGCTTTTGTGTGCATGTGGACTTGTACGAGAGGCTCATGTGTAATGTATACAGTTATCATGGAAGTGTTTGGCCCAAGGATAAATTTTATTACTATAGGTCAGTGCTGTGAGTTGACACATTTCCTTTTCGGAAGGTGGAAGTGTGTAGTGAAAGATCCTGTGGAGCTCTGGCTCCACAACTTACTGCTTATGTGAAGCTGGGCAATTACTCTGGACTCAGTTTCTTAATTCATAAAATGGGATATGTAGAGAGGGGTTGTATGAGAATTGATGAGGATGGTGTGAACGAAGTACCTGCACATTGTCTAACATACAATAGGTGCTGAATAGGTGTTCCCCCAATTCAAATGTAAAGGAAAATTGTATCCAGTATGAAGAGCTGTTTGCAGCCAATAATACTGACAGAGCAGAAAGTCTCCAGAGAATTCAGCTGTACATCTAACTACTTATAACAAAACGAATCTAGAGGTATTGGTTTCCTTTTGCCACCACTTTTCCCTCACTTGGCAAGAAAAATGAGATTAACATGTGTTTGCTTTTAATTTTTATTGTTGGCCTATGTGTTTTAAATCTTAATCCTTTATCTTAATTTATATTGTACCAACATTTATTGGCCCTAAATTGTATAGCCAATAAGTTTCAGCTTCATTCCCATATTAAATATAACAAGTTTAAATTCATACAGAAATGGTCAATATGTAAAGTCAATTAAATACAGTTAGAAATCTCATAAGTGAAATTCAAAATACTTATTTGATGAAAGAAAAATAATAAGAAAAAAAGAGAATACTTATTATCAACATGTAGTTTTGAAATATCATACTTTCAATTGAAAATATAGTTGACATTTATATAGAATTTGGTAAATTTATATGGCATTTATATTGCTGCATCTTAAGAAAATAAACAACTCAGGCAATTTAACTCAGAAGTATTATTTGATTATGCAAATAACTATATATAAATGTATTGGAAGGCTTATTTATTTTTTAACCTGGTTTCTATTATATGCATCATGAACAAGATTTTTGACCATAAGAAAACACTGTTGCCCAGCCAGTGTGACTCAGTGGTTGAGCATCGAGCCATGCATCAAGAGGTCACTCGTTTGATTCCCGGTGAGGGCACATGCCCAGGTTGTGGGCCCAATACCCAGTGGGGGGCATGAAGGAGGAGGCTAATTGATGTTCTCTCCCATCAATGTTTCTATCTCTCTCTCCCTCTTCCTTCCTCTCTCTCTAAAATTAATAAAACAAATAAATTAAAAAGAAAAGAAAAACACTGTTAATAAGTTTTTAAAAGAATGTTCAAAGAAAACACATGCAATACAATGATCCAAAATATAGGTACTAACCATATATAATCAAGCACACTATTTAATACTCAGTTAACTATTACATTAAGAAAGATATGGCCCTGGTTGGTTTAGCTCAGCGGTTAGAGTGGCGGCTCTTAGACCCGAGGGTTGCGGGTTTGATTCGCTATCAAGGGCATGTACCTGAGTTGCAGGTTCAATCCCTGGACCTGGTTGGGGTCATGCAGGAGGCAACCAATCGATGTACCTCTCTCATATTGATGTTTCTCTCTCTCCTCTCCCTCTGTCCCTTCTGCTCTATCTAAAAATCAATGGAAAAATATCCTTGGGTGAGGATTAACCAAAAAGAAAAAAAAAGCAAGATATGGAAGTTCAACATTCATTTTATCTTGAAAAGAATTATACAAAGAATCTCTAGCTAAGGAAAATGGACAGGCAATAAGAATACTGTGTTACCACACAAAAACATTTTTTTTTTTTTTATCCTCACCCGAGGATATTTTCCATTTTTTTTTTTTTTTTTGTACAGATAGAGTGGGAGGGAGAGAGAGAGGAAGGGAGAGAGAGAGAGAAACATCGACGTGAAGGGACACATCGAGTGGCTGCCACCCGCACGACCAACCAGGACCTGGGACAAACTGCAACCGAAGTACGTGCCCTTAGCGGGAACCGAACCCGGGTCTCTCCGGACCGCAGGCCGACGCTCTAACCGCTGAGCCAAACCGGCCAGGGCCACAAAAACATTTTAAGTTTGTCATTTGATTTTCAATTTCTTTAATATCATGAATCAGAAGTATTACTATGAAGGAAAAAATTTTCTAAGATTAAAATTAGATTTCTTTATATATTAACTAAAGACTAAAATTATGTAAATATAATGTAAAATTTAAAAATTAATATTATTTTATATAACATTATTTTTAAGTTAAAAACAGCATATGGTTTCAGAAATATACAATGTCTTAGTAGTACAATCAATTATAAACAATTACAAAATACTATTGCATTAAAAGTAAGATGTATAAAGTTAAAATAAGCACATTATGATTTAATTATGTTTACAACATGATTAACAACTCAACACTGTTTGCTTACTGATTTAGTATAAAAATCCGGAGCTTTACTTCACATGCAGAAATTCTCAAGAATTTTTGTTTCTTTGTTTCTTCTCAAATGAAAAAATTCAATTAATTGTTTTAAAAAGATTGCCCACTGAATTACCCAAAGAGAATAAATATAGTAAGAAATTTGTGTTTTAATTGGAAATCAAATTGGAGAGGATTTTAACATTTATAATTTCAATCATTAGATTAACAATAAATGTATAATCAAGTAACATTGCAGCATTTATGTGATATGCCTTTGTAAATATATGTTTTGTTATATATTCTGACATTAAATCTGTAAGAAACTCTAGAACCATAGCTTTCAACATTACTCCAGTTAGATATACATTTTATTCAGCAGAAGAAAACAAAGAAAATGATGGCGCTCTAAAATAGCTCAGCAGCCTTAGAGGGCAGATACAAATTTTAGGGAAGACACTGAGGGTCAAAATATGGTGTATTTAAAATGTGGTATTTCATGTTTAGACTTCAAATGAAATTCCAAAATAAAATGTGCTTTTGGTGAACCTTTTCAAAGTTGAAACAAAATTCTGTTAAGGACATTTACTAGATAAAAATAAGTGTTTCTGAAAATAATCAATAGAATTTTGGAAATACTGCTATTTTGCTTCTAAATTCAAGCATCATAAATAATTGGAGGTATAATTTTTGGTACTGCCCTAAATAATCAGATGTGAAATCAACTTGGAGAACTTGATTACTTTAGAACTGGGCATGGGGTCCATATTTGAAGCTAAAAGTATAACCTGATCAGTTAAGTACATGTGGATGTAAATTCCCATTAAAACAAGTGACTGTGTATTGCTTAGAAAAAGAAAAAATAAAATTTCCTCCTGGCATTTATTTTTATGGGAAAAAAAAAAAGATAATGTGGTGCATTTTAGAATCAGTAAAATGGAGAGTGAGTTTCTACAGAGTTACAGAACATGAGGATGTGTGGTCCAAAAAGCTTAAGTTACAAAATTCATGGGATGAAATAGGGAAGTACTTTATTTTTCATTTTTATTTAACTCATTGGGGTGACACTGGTTAATAAAGTTATGCAGGTTTCAAGTGTACGGTTCTATAATACATCATCTGTATATTGCATTGTGCGTTCACCACCCAGTCAAGTCCCCTATCACTACCATTTATCCTTTCCCCTGTACTCTCTCTACCTCCCCACTCACTTTCCCTCTGGCAATTACCATATTGTTATATTGTTGTCTGTTTTTTGTTTGTTTTCACTTTAGAAGCCACTAATGATTCTCATCTGAAGACAGATGGTGTAAGTTACCTCCTGGTCTCCCCCTAGCCCTGCCATCCGCTTCCACCTACGATAGTATGAAAGAGATTAAAAATAAATAAGTTCACAAATGTTAGAACAGTTAAAAGTCACACCCCCTTTTAGTATGTGGAGAAGGAACAAAAGCCATGTTTTAATTCAGGCCGTGCCATTTAAGAGCTGTGAGTTTGGGCAGTTTATGTGACCTTTTTTCCCATCTGAAAATAAGAACAATAATTACCACGCAATATATTATGAATGAAAGGCCATTATAAGCACTAATTCAATAGCAGCTTTTCTTCTGATTACTATATGTTAAGTTGTTCCAAACCATACAATGTCTGTGTTTCTCTAATTCTATTTTTTTTTTTTTTTTTTTGGTGGTATGTGCCCCTAGCGGGAACTGAACCCAGGGCTCTCTGGTCTGCAGGCCGATGCTCAACCGCTGAGCCAAACTGGCCAGGGCGTTTCTCTAATTCTTAATTGCTATTCCATTTCTTTCCCACAGATAGAAGCCTTGATTCAGAGATCTACCCCAAGCCCACTATCTTTCTTCCTTCAGTTGCCGAAATAAAACTTCATAAGGCTGGAACTCATCTTTGTCTTCTTGAGAAATTTTTCCCTGATGTTATTAAGGTATATTGGAAGGAAAAGAACAGCAATACACTTCTGGAATCTCAGCAGGGAATTACCATGAAGACTAATGACACATACATGAAATACAGCTGGCTGACCGTGACTGAAAAATCAATGGCTACAGAACACAAATGCATAGTCAAACATGAGAATAATAAAAGAGGAGTTGATCAAGAAATTATTTTTCCTCCAGTAAAGAAAGGTATGTGTGTGTACCTCCCAGAACACATTCCCTCTGCAAAGGGAATGCCTCACATGTCTGTTAAATACTATATATATATATATATGATATGCCTTAAATGTTGCTACATTTAATAGTAGCAAAAATGTCCTACTATTTTCCCATAGAATTTAAATAATATAGGTTTTAGAACATAAAAAGATGAAGAAATAAAAAATTTTACTTTTCTTGGCCTCAATTTTATCATCCGAAATATTAAAGTCACAGCATGTTTTTTAGGGCTGTATGAATATTTTTTAAAATATATTTTTATTGATTTTTTTTTTTTAGAGAGAGAGAGAAAAACATTGATGTGAGAAACATCAATTGGCTGCCTCCTATAAGCACCCCCCCCCATTGAGGATCAAGCCCAAAACCCAGGCATGTGCCCTAACCGGGAGTCCATGAGAGGATGCTTAATTCACTGAGCCATGTAAGAAACAACATACATGAAAGCACCTAGCAATTTAGAACACAAAAATATGCTCAAAAAGAGATTCCATTTTTGATGATCTTACTTGGTCAGGAAATAAGAACAATTATACATCTTTCAGGAATTTTCTACTCAACAAGCAAAGACATTTGAACTTCAGTCTTGCTATACTCAAAGTATAACCCATAAACAATAAGTTGTTAGACAACAGATGTCTTTCTGAGAGATCAAGGTTTAACATGAATTAGAATAATTTAGCCCCTCTGTTTTATTACAGTCCTGGGTTTTTCAGGTTTGTATTTTATATACCACTGCAGGTAAATTTCATAATTAAAGATTGGGTGAGTCTAATGTGTAGAAACATATTTCCATTCTATATAATGAATGTATATATTGCCATTGGTATTGCTGCCCAACAAACATGTATTGCAGTACTAGCGTGGGCCAGGCCTGGAAGGATGTGGATGAGTATAGTAGGACAAATCATGGTTCCAAGGGGGATGCACACAGTAAAGAGAATGTAGTCTTTTTCTAAACATTCAGGGTCACTTGGGATTCAGGCATGATGTCCCAAAGGAGTGCCTTTGCCTTAGATGCTCTACATATCTGGACAGTGCGGGCAGAGGGCTGAATGTGCCAGGGCCCCAGCAGTGGCCCAGTAACTCATTAGACTCAGAACTTAAAGTCCTGAGTATTAACATCAGACCAAAGGCCCCATGAGAAGGAATCAGTTGGTACTTTGCCCTGTGGTTAAGCCCTTTCTTAAGCAGTAAGGAAGAAGCACATAAGATGTGCTAAGACCTTTACTGTGTACCAATCTGAATTTCTGATGCCTTTATCTTCTTGGACCCCAGTTCCCCCAAAGATCAAATCAGGTTCAAAAACTTGACTTGGCTTTCTCCTGGGGCTTTGATAAACACTCAGTGATTATGCTTGCTTTTGAAAATATAACATGGGTGTATTTATTCATATATGTCTACTTATATCCTTTCCTAAAACTAATGAGTACCAAAACAGCTCTAATTTTCCTATTTCTGTGGCTAAAACAGAGAGAAAGCAAACATGCAAAGCACAAGTTTAATATAACTACTGGGCTTGAGTGTTCTATTAGGTTTGATTTTTCTAGTGATCGGGGATGACTATGGTAAAGGAGAGAAGTTCGGTTTACAAGGTATTTTACTTGGCACTTGATTTCTGAAACAAATATCTCACTTGGGCTTTTCATGGCAACAAAGCTAACAAGGGTATGTCTGTTAATGGCATTCTACAGCAAATTTCTAATGCTGTTTATTGGAAGTTTGTTGTTTTAGATAAAAGCTAAAAATATAACATGGAAGCACAAATCAATAAAGTGATTTTGAAGAGACAGACAACAAATCTGGTCTAACTTTTCTACCAAATTAGGAAAGAGAATAAGGATACACATACAGATTTTATTATGAAAAATTGTTACTTTACTGTTTTTATTTCAAGCAGTGCATAGTGATATTTTTATTTATATTTTAAGGAAAACAGACTCTTAAGACACAGTAAAGATAATCCTTGGGGATATTTTAACATCTAAACATGATTATACTAACATTTTCAATCTCGAGATTTGTCCTGCAGCCTATACCTCACACCTATTTTTTCAGAGCACACCAAAAAGACCTCATTGAGTGCATAAAACTGCATACCAGATCCATACCCATATGGACAAGAACACATGTAGTAGAAAAAGGATAAACCAAAGCAACCACTCAACTGTTTTCCTTCATCCAACAGTCAATGATCTTTTTAAGAAAGTTTGTCTTTGTATGTATATTTGCGTGTTTCAACAAAACATTGTTGGTAAATATAACTTTTATCTCAGGTTTTATATATTCAGATAAATATAAATGTGGTTTAGTTTATCTTCCTATTCTCAGAAAAAACTGCACTGAAATGCCGAGTTTCTGTAATAAGAAAGTCATTTGCTAAGCATAATTAAGGTGTCTGGGAGAGAAGATGTTTTTAGTATCCACAATAGGGAAATTATGTTGTTTTTCTATAGATTATTTTCTATTTCTGTGGATTATTTTTACAGAGTACTTTCTACATGTTCTCTCCCATTTAATCTCCCACATCATTCCTTTGAATGTTGTCTCTCCCAGTCACTGGTGTGACTCTCCATGAGTCACTAATATTCTCTAAACCTCATTCCTCGTCTGTAACATGGAGTCCTCCAGCATACAACTTACTTTAGTGTTACTGGGAGATTAAGTGAGATAATGCACATGAAGCATTTAACATGCACTGAACCACACAGCCTTGTACAGTAATGATCACTCAATAGACATTAGTTTCAATAATATTGTCATGTCCACCAACATAACTACAAAAAATTATGTGCGTGAGCTGGGGATATTGGGAAAACGCATGGTTTGGAAAGGCATGGCTGAGATGAGAAATTTGCCTAAACCAGACTCCTTCAAACATGTAAGATTCTGTTGTGGGTTCTATGATTAAACAAATTTATTTTGGTAGCAACTGTTCATGTCAGCAGTGTGTGCTGAAGACTGTAGAGCAGCTCCTTTTTCTGTTTATTTTTTCCATTCAACAAGTATTTATTGAACAGCTACTTTGGGGTGGGCACTGCGCTAGCAGCAGTGAATGTAGGAAGAAACAGGTTGTCTTGGATAGTACCCTCCAGGTATGATTAAAAAGTTGAAATGTATCCTTCATAACCTTCAACATCTTCATATGCAGAAACATAATATATGAATTAGATATACTGAATTACATAGTCTGGGCAACTATTCCTGTAACTGGGGTTCCTATTTTTAATAGCTCTCTCCTGTCTGTTGGCAGATTCTATTCATCAATCTGTCTGTCTGTCTGTCTGTCTGTCTATCATCTATCTATATGTCTGTGTATCCAGACATACAGACACACACTATCAAATAATGGTTACGAACAATTCACTGATAGTTGCTCTCGTTTCTTGTAGGGGTTGCTGCTATTAATACTGCAATGAAAGCTTGTGTGGAAGACACAAATGGTAAGTTTTTGCATATGTTTGCCTTTGTGTCATGCTATAGCATTTCCCCCGTTCTGGTCAACTTAAGTTTTGAACTTCTCTGGCTTAAGGTAGAAAAATCAGAATGGCTGGATCTTGCAGAATAAACTTGAGTGGTATCTTAAGTCAATCTATCATTTCCTGTTAGCCACCTTAACACAGCAAATGCTGGTTTTTGGTATGGCTTTTGTATAGCTTTTGTTTCTCACTAGGGAACACATGATCTCAAGATGCTTTTAGTTTTTTTTTTTTAAGTCTTTGGTCCTTCAGGTAGTTAATAATATGAACTGACATTTACTGAGCATTTCTTATACAAAAGGCATAGTGTTGTGTTTTTAATGCATTTTCTTGTTTAATTCTTATAATAGTCCTGTGAAGTGGTACAATATATTTTTCCCATTTTATAAATGAGAGCATAAGTTAAAATTAAGTCCCTTACACCATGCCACACAGCTAAATCTGGGGTTTCAATCCAACCATCAGTCAATAATTCATACACTTACTCAGTTCTCTATTCTTCCTTTGAGTCGAGTCATAGAGCAAGAAAGCCCAAAGCCAAGACCCTGAAACACAATGCATGCATGGCTGGGGTGGGGCTAGAGGCAGTGCATGGGCTTCTGGATACCACAGACTGGACTTCAATCCCAGCTCTTTTAATTATTAGTTGCATAAATATGGTTACTTATGTTTTCTGAGAAATACTTTCCTCATCTGCCAATCAGAATTAATTACACCTAACTCAGTTATTGAAGAGATAAAGTCACATATGTGAATGTTGAGCATGGGGTATCTCATTTATCTGGCACAGAGTATGTACTAGTTTCTGGCCCTTTCTCCCTGCAAATATACAAATAAAACAACTAGAAGCATTTGCTCTAGACCTGCTGATCTCTCCTCCATTTCTAGTATCAAGAGGGCTCTAGACCTCAGCTAACACCTTAACCTGACCAAGGGCAAGGAGTTCTGAGCACATCACCTCTTGAGGTCCCTTTTCAGACCAAGTGCTAATAATTCTAGAGTTCTGATACCATGACGATAAAGCATGTCAAAGGAAAATTTCCACAGGAAAGGATTTGACCTTGTGGTTCATTGAGTAGCAGTCTGGCCCACCATCACTGTTGTCAATTATTATCATATATTTCTGGCAAAATTTCTAAGGATATTAAGTACAACCACCCTGTAATATCATAGCCACAATGAGGGACATTTAGGAAAGACAGGTGAGTGAGCTGTAACCTCTTTAAGTTTCAGAGAATTTGGATTAACCACTTTCTTCCAGTTAACATAAAGCCCTCTTCTAAAACCTTGCACCTACCCTGCTGTGAACATCAGGCTAGAGCAGCAGTCTACCCTACTGTGAACACCAGGTTCATTGAGTAGCAGTGTGGCCCACCAAGGATACAACCCCAGGGTTGTCCCCTTAGTAGAATCATATTCCATGTACATGTCATGACTTGGATACTTCTAAATCAGCAAATCAACTTTATAGTTATGCTTAACCTTTTGATGTCTGGGGTATTATTTATTGCACCTGGAGATACAGAATTACAGAGTAACAAAGAATGTGATCTGTAAATTCATGTTCCTGGGATTGAAATCTGGTTTCTGGTACTTACTAAATGCACAACATCAGGCAAATTACTTCTCTCTGTTCTCATTTTATTTGTAAAATAGGAATGAAAATCATCTCACAGGTTACTGTAAAAATAAATATAACAGTAAAACTTTGCATACAAAGCTCTCAGAGTGTTTGGCATTTGGTTAATGGTTAGTGAATATCAGCTATTATTAATTAGAGACATGGTGGGGATGAAGAAATGCTAAAAACTACTTACCACAAATACTTTCTTCTCATTGGACTCTCTCATTAAAAATGCAATCTTAGTTTTTAATATTTTGAAGTGTTCTACGTGAATTTAGCAGAGGTTGCTGATTGACTTGACCTGCAAGCTGGATTCTACTTTGTCTTGTTGTTGGTTGTGGTGGTAGATGATTATTTTTTGGTTTGGTGGTGCAGAGGTGTCACTTGAACGTAGATCTTAAGAAGTAAATAACTGTGATCCCTCCCATTAATATTTCCTACCTTTTCAAAAGAACAGACAAAAATAATCAAATTACTTCTCCTAGATACATTGCAACTGCAGCTCACCAATACCTCTGCCTACTACACCTACCTCCTCCTCCTCCTCAAGAGCCTGGTCTACTTTGCCATCATTTCCTTTCGTCTGTTTAGGAGAACAGCAGTCTGTGGCCATGGAAAGAGTTCATAAAAGTTGATGGCATAAAAGAATCAACTTTATTATTATTATTATTATTATTATTATTATTGTCCCTGAACATGTCTGCTGAAGATCTAGCTGGACTTTCTTTCTGGGTTTTGATTATTTCAGTTCATTTGTGCATTTTTCTATTATTGCATAACGGTTTTCAAAGCACTGTACAAAAGAAAATTTCACTCTGTAACAATAAAAAATGCTGCCATTACTCAGGGGCAGGGCCAAAGTGTACCCTTTAGCACCTCTCTTCCCATAATCTCCATCAGCTCCTCCACTCAATCCAAATAATCATGCCTTCTGAGTACAGAGAGTGTGAAGCTTCTAGTCACATTCTTCAGTGCTCTTTAACCCGATAAATGCCTTGAAGCTTTCCACTGTACACGCCTGGAAGCTGCCATCTTTGCTACTTGAGTTCTGTATTTTGTTTTTCATAATAGGACAATAAATTTTTTAAAAATCAAGTCTACTTCTGTCTATGTACTTTAATGTGATAAATCTTATTGAAAGTTCAAGTTAAGAAAAGAGCATGACAAATGAGCTATCAATTTCAACGTTCACATAATGGTCAACACTACAATTCCTGTTTGTTCCCTGTGACAGTAGTTATGGGGCACTGGTTCCAAGGGGAGCTAGAGACAAATGAAGGTGCCATATTCATAGATCACCATATTCATACTCACTTGGTTTGGGAAATTCCAACAGTGATACTGTAGCATCTACCATGATTTGCATTGTGTGCTCAGATCTATACTAGCGCTTCACAAGTGTCAGGCTTCCTGACCCTCACAATAACCCCAGAACTGCAGAGTGGTGGAGGGCTGAGCACATTGAGTCTGTACCCTAAGTTCTAGCACTGGTGTGTGAACTCAGGCAAACTCTGAACTCTGCGTGCCATAACTTTCTCATTTATAAAATAAAGTCCTAGTGCCTGGTCTTTTCTAATTGTGTGGATTAGATGAGTTAATAATGTTTGGTGCAACAGCATTAGCAGCTACTGTTAGTAGTTCTACTTTAGAAATAATAGAACACACACACACACAGCCTGGCAATTATCTCTAATATTATTCCCATGCAGAGATGTTAGATGTAGATGGAATAGGGACTCGGTGATTTCTACTACAAACCAGGCAATCCCATTAATCCTCTCAGAGCCCTTGAAGGAGGGTACAGCCCGCAGTTCCCAGGACGGAGAGATTACGTTATCTTCTCATGGCCACCATTTGGTAAGTAACAGTCATTTGAAGCCAGGTCTCTCTAAACTCAGAGCTCGTATTTTGTTACCCAGTATCATGTGGCTTCCCCTTCACCTGCTTTCAACTGGGAAAACCAAAATAAAACATGCACTGCTTCTTTACTAAAGGCATTCTCCAAGGAGTCAGTGAGAATTTCCTTAAGGACTTGCAGGTGCATCTGTATTTTCTCCTCATGTATATATTCTGGTAAAACCATAATTGCTCCCTTAATTATCAACAGTATGGAAATCCTGCCTTATTTTTAGTTTTTCTTATCCTCACCCGAGGACATTTTTTCATTTTTTGTTCAGATAGAGTGGGAGGGAGGGGGGGGAGGGAAGGAGAGACAGACACACACACAGAGAGAGAGAGAGAGAGAGAGAGAAGAAACATCGACATGAAAGGGACACATCGAGTGGCTGCCACCCGCACAACACAACCAGGGCCGGGGACAAACTGCATCCGAGTTACGTGCCCTTAGTGGGAACCGAACCCGGGTCTCTCTGGACTGCAGGCCGATGCTCTAACTGCTGAGCCAAACCATCCAGGGCAAATCCTGCCTTATTTTATGTGTCCTAGATTTGTAACTCCTCTTTTGGGGTGCTAGTGAAATGAACCGAGAGTCTCAGGCAGAGCAGGACCTCTGATGGTGCTGAGTATACCATTCTGACACTCCAGCTCCAACCTTACACTGAATGAGTCCAGGGGTCCTCAGAATCCCTGTGTGGAAGCATCTGGTAAGTCCGTGGGCATTTCTGAGGTAGGAGGTGGGTAAATTTCCTTTGTAGTCCAGTACTTTTCAATCACAGCAAGACTGCCACATGGTGTGGTGGGAGGAACACTGGACCCAAAGTTTCGCCTCACTCTCCATAGCTAGAGCCTTGGTACTTGGTCTGGCTCTAACTAGCTGTGTCATTTGTTCTAGACCATGTCATATTGCCTAAGCTTATCCATCTTTAGAAGAAAGTGTTTAATTGGAACAATTTCACATTTCTAGCACAATTTACAAATTCAACGATTAACATACTAATGAAGTAATAATAGCAAACACTTGCATAGTGCTTAGTAGTACTGGTCTAAGTATGTGTTAACTCACTTAATTCTCACAAGAACTCTATGAAACAAGCACAATTACCTCTGTTCTACAGATAGTGAAACTGAGGCAAAGAGGGGACAAAGATTCCCCATAGTTAGACAGTTAATAACAAGTAGAGCTTCAATTTGAACCCAAGAAGCCTGGCTACCGGAGCTCTATTCTTACTTCTACATTAGTTGCCACCAAAGTAGAAACAGGTTACTTTCAGTTTCAGTTAAGATAGGAAAATAGCCTTCCTTAATAGGCTAAGAGCTGATGAAGAGAACTGCCTCTTTACTTGTCTACACTTTCTCTCCTTACTTTTACTTATGCTGTTCATATAATTAGAGGGTTATAGGAGATTCTGCCACACAACTTTTTTGTGCTGGAAAGATTTTTTTCTTTTTTTATCCTCACCTGAGGACATTTTCCCATTTTTTGTTCAGATAGAGTGGAAGGGAGAGAGAGGAAGAGATAGAGAGAAACACCGACGTGAAAGGGACACCTCAAGTGGCTGCCACCTGCACGACCGACCAGGACCGGTGACAAACTGCAACCGAGGTACGTGCCCTTAGTGGGAACCGAACCCTGGTCTCTCTGGACCGCATGTCGATGCTCCAACCGTTGATTCAAACCGGCCAGGGCTGGAAAGATTTTTTTTTCTATGCTGACTTCCCACTCACCAATCAGACATCTGTGATTACAGGACATGCACTTGGTTGGATGAAATAAGTAACTGAACAACAGGCTACATCCACAGGTATGCAATGGAAAAATTAGGCAAAGATGTATACAATTTCCATAAAAGAACTCATGTCTCAATTGTCTCTTTTATATTGCTAGCATATTCTGTACACATCTCAACCATAAAAAAGGGGAAGCTGTAAGACAACAATTCTCAAAACTTTTTCCATTATGAATTCTTTCTACTGGTTTAGAATTCTTTTCTTCATAAACTCAGAGATTTTTCAAAGGCTTTCTGTCAAACAAGCAGGCCACAATTAAGTAATACTTAATTTTTTCTTTACATTAATCAAAGTCCTATATAACTGCCAATTACAAATTCTGAGTAATATCAGATAGCCACAGATACTGTATCAGCATGATACAATTCAGCCAAAAAGCTAGAAACTCAACATTTCATCAGCCATGAAAACTTATCTGGGTAAATGCATGGTCTCTACCAGATTCTGTTAAACTATTTATTTTGCTTTATTTTGTTTTGTTTGAATAACAGCAAGTACCTACAACTTAGTGAGCAACAGGAATCCTGGCAGGTAGTTTGCATGTTCTGTCTATTTAATGCTCTCATGGTGCCACAACGCAGGTATCATGCTCATTTCATTGATGAGAAGAGCGGGTGCCAGAGAAGCTAATATACCCAAGGTTAAACATGGAGTAGTGCGAGAGTCCACATGATTCCAGATCCATCCGACTTAAAATATGCTATTTTACTCATTATATCAAAGGCTGTCCTCTTGGAGCCTTTAAAAACCACTGAGGCCCAGACTTCATCACAGGCCAGGCATGGACTTTAAAAAAAACCTCCTTTAGCCATTCTAATGTGTGGCCAGTTTGAGGCCAGCAGGTGACTGAAGTAGCTGCTCCTGTGTCAGGCGTCAGCTTTCCAGCCGCCAGGAGCCATCACAGCCCATTCCACAGGAGAACATGCTGCAGCCTGAAAAGTGTTCTTACCATCAACCCATCAATTTCCTATAAGGAAATAGGAGGTATGTACTAAGATTTATGTGCAAGGATGTTCACTTACTGTAGCACTATGTATAGCAGCCCCAAATTAACCCAAATGTCCAATAAAAAACTAAAATTGAAATGAAGGATGTCATATTACAGATTACTATACATCTTCAAAAATATAGATTTAAAGAAATGAAAATTTAATCAGGAAATGTTGAAAAAATAATATACATAGCCAAACCCTCCTAAAATGGTTAGGTAATATGTTCACGTGGTTAAAAAATCAAAACACTGTAAAAAACGCATTAAGATATCTTGCTTCAACCAGTCTCTACCTCCCCAGACTCTTATAGGTCACACTTTTGTTTCTGTGCATCCTTCTTGTTTTCATTATGCAGATGTGAATGCAAGTACATAAAAACATATGCATGTTTGTATATATTCTAATTCTCTCCCTTAGCACACAAAGGTAGTACACAATACACATTATTCTGCACTTCTCTTTACTTATATATCCTAGAGTTCTGATGTCAGTTTATAGGGACCCTTAGCTTCATATTTCACTGGTGAATGTACAATACTTTATAAAATCAGTTCTCCGTGATATACTGTTGGCTTATTTCCAATCCTGTTATTATAAATGCTGAAATAAATACTAATGTTTTATGTCATTTTGAATGTGTGCATTGTTTATTTCTACCACAATGTAGGTGAATGCCAAGAACATGTTGTCAAATGTCAGGACTTGGCTAACATGACAACTGAAAAATAGTCTCATTATGGCTTTAATTTGCTTTTCTCTTATGAGTGAGGATAAGCATCTTTTCATATATTTAAAGTCTATTTATATTTCTTCTGTGAAATATTTGTTTATATCCTTTGAACACTTTTCTATTAATAATACAAGTTTGACACTCATTTATACGTGTGTCTGTGTATGTCCATGGGCTTAGGCAGAAAACAAAATGTTCAATGTATGGTTGGTAGGTGAAAAAAAACAAGTGATTTTATATTTTTCTATTTTCTCTAATGAATCCTTTAAATGTAAAAACTTTTATATATTAGAATTAAAACAATGTCTCATTTACTAAGTGAAACAAGCCAAACAGAGAAAGACAAGTATATGATCTCACTTATTTGTGAAATGTAATGAACATAACAGTCTGAAGAACAGGGTAGTCCCAGAGACGTGGAAGTAGGGTACAGACTGGCAATCCCCAGAAGAGGGGGTGTGGGGAGAAATAAACCACAGAACTTATTTGCATGTGTGCATGAACAATGGACATGGACAACAAAGCCGGGGACATGGCAGGGAGGGAGGGGGAGGAGGGTGTCAATGGGGAAAAAAGGAAAAACATCTGTAACAACAACAACAAAAAATGTCTCATTTAAAATTGGAAAGATTTTGTTTACAATCAGCTTCAGGTTCTGTGAAACAGGTTTATTTGGAAATCAAGCAGAGGTTCCCATTCAGAAACGAAGTAAGACCAAACACATACGAGAAAGATTACATTTAATTAGATCTACTGCTTGATTCTCATTTATTTGGTCAGACCTCTTTAGGCCAAATACTTGGCCCTCTACTTAGAGCAACAATTTTCAACCAGTGTGCTGCAAGAATTTAAAGAACATGCAATGCCTGACTACTTGGGGGCACTGAGCTCTTTTCCCTTAGATTGTCAAATAAAGAAAATGACAATGACCAACACAGTAGCTGGTTGATGTGAATACCCTCTCTTGAATCATAAATATATAGGTCATATAATAGAGTTGCATCTTATTAGTCACATCACATAAGGTTGTATCTGATTGGTTAATTGTTGGTACCAGACGTCCTTATGTACAAGTATAGGCACCTGATTTTTTAAAAAAGTCATTCTGAACAAAAAGGATAGGTAATGACTATTATTGTTGTTTCTGTAAATTAATCAAAATTATACCTATTTTTTGTCAGATTAGCAAAAAACGTAACATTTTTTAGTGTGGTGTAGAATTTTAGTAATCAGTTTATGTATGCCATGAGGTAAAGATGGAAAATTGCTGACTTAAGGGAGTTGAAACTTTCTACATTGGGAAAGATAGAAGCAGAGGAAACTTGAAAATCACTGAATGCTTTGTGCAACCAATTTCACAGCTGGAGCACTACCAAGTGGCAATTTCTGTGGCTTCAAACATCTTAGCCACTTCCTTCCCCAACTCAACCTGGGCGGCCCTGAAATAGGCGGTACATAGATAAGGAGAGCAGAGGTGATGATGGAGTAGGTGGTGTGGGTGGTGGGAGGGTGCTAGTGTGGCTAATGGTGTTTTATTTTCTCAGGCTTCTTTTGTTTACATGCTCTGGCAAATGTGGTTGATTCGTGGAAAATGCTCAAAGTCAAACCGGCCCCTACTGGTTGGGTGTTATAAGATAAAATAAGGACAGTTAAACCACAACCAACTTTGCTCACTTTCAAAAGGCCATAGCTAATGGGAAGAAATTATTCATCTACATACACATGTAGGTGGTTGTTATCAGACATACACAGGCTGTGGTATTATCACACTTTTTATTAACAAAGTTCACTCCAGTTAGCTATTATGTTCTGCTTAGAGCAGAAAACACTAAGATAATCCCTAACATTTCACCAAATATCTGTGCTCTTCCATGGTATTTGATTCACTGAGGCTGGTACATTTTGGTTTCATTTTCTCAGTGTAGACAGGGTGACACAGACCTGTGGTTGTGACCCTGGAAGCATGAACAGACTGTAGATGTAGGCAACAGTGATGAGCTTTTTCCTTCACACGAACATAGAGGCAGCAAGGCCCTAAATTCTACTGTCACTGAATGCCCTACACTGAATCAGGTAAGTCCCTCTAAAGAAACAAAAAGACTTCAGTCAATCTGAGCAAAGCTTAATAGAGGACGTAAACATCAGAAAAGTGTGATTGGGGTCAAGTAGAAGAGGGCTGTTCAGTAATGTGAACATAAAGAGCAAATGTTCCACCCCCTCCCACCCAAGCATGGTATGGAGTGGTCCAGGTCCACAGGCTCAATCTGTGCAGTCCTGGAAGGGGTATAGCACTACTGTTGAGATCAATGCTTCAGGCTTTCAGAGTCTGATTTCAAGGCATATTCAAGTCAGATACTTTATTCTTCTTGGTCTGTGCTCTGAGAGCCAACTTCTGGGAGCCTTGGCTTCCAGTGACGATGGACTGCATGTCTAGCATGTTTGAGAGCTTTTTCTCAGGTTAAATTAATACAATGACATCAGGCTTGAGCATCTTCGAGGGCTTGGGGTATACGTGAATCCACTCTTGAAACAGGGCATTCTCATTGTGATAATACCATTGATTTCACAAGGTTTTAGTCCTAAAGCCAGACCTGGAGCTTTCCCTCACCCCTTTCTCCACCGTAAGAAGCTCTTCCTGGTTAGGCTGCAGCAGCCTCCCCCATTGCACTTTGGTCATTTGGCCCATTCTTAGAACAAGCACAGATGGAGAGGATTTGATCTGCACAAATGGCCAGTTCCCACCCAGACCAGCACAATTACCATCACATACTATTCAGTTTTTCTTAAATGACATATGAATAAAAGAAAATAGACATGCTGCCTTCCTATGAAGCAATAAGGTAATTATTCACATTTCTAAAGAATACATTCACTTCTCCTTCTGCCTGCTGATGGAGAGTCCTTCTGTGAATGCGTCCCTGGCATCCTCCACTCCCACAGGCCCGAGGCTGCCGAACTGCATTAGAGGCAGCAGTGGAAGCGGCAGCATTGGTCTTTGTGGTGGCAGCAATGGCACCAGGCTCTGGAGTGGTTTAACTGTGGCACTTTTCACAGCATCCAGCAGCAGCATTGCTGTAATCAACAAAAACACCTTCACATTAAGCACGTTCCTCGATTCCAGCAGAGCCCCACAGCATAACTGAGATGAGCTTCCTGAGCAGCAAGGTGTTGGTGAGGGACTTAATGTCACCCTTCGACCAGTCAGGTTTGGGGCTGAAGAAAGCCTAGGTCTCTTAGATGACTTCATGGATGTAGCCAATCACTTCAAACCTCATGGGTTCTCCAGGGACAAGGCTAAGGTGGGTTCCTCCAAAAGATTGCCTGTGGATGGGTTGGTCAGTACCTCAGGCAACGCAAAGAAGATGCCTTCTCTGGGATAGATCATATAGTGGAGGAATTGGATCTCAAGGAGTTTGACTCTGGTGGGAACTAGACTCAATGAGCTTTAAGCCCCCTTGAATGACCTGTGTGATCTCTTTGCGCCACCCCACTCCAGACCAGGAGATTAATAAGGAGCCTCCCATCCCAGAAAGTGAACCCAACTGGCCATCTTCCAGAAAGTTTACCCAAAACTGACTTGGTTGTCCCCTTCGCCCTCCTGCAACCTCTCCCCCCTTTCCAGGGGCCCTGCCCATCACTCCAGATCATTCCTTTAGTTTAGAACTAGGCAGTGAAGTTGATATTTCTGAAGGAGACAGAAGTCAGACTCCACTGCTTATATTACCATAATCCCTCAATGCATAAAAGAGGAGGATGTCACTTCAGACAATGATAGTGGCATCCCTGAGTCCTTATGTGGGCTCTCCCCAGCACAGTCCCTCTATCTCCAGGATCTCTCCACATAGGAAGGAGCATGTTGTCTCCAAGTACTGTCTATAGTTCTGCCCGCCCCAACCCTACAACTCTCCTTGTTCCCCTTTTGTAATTCTATCACTTTTGGCCAAATACATAATGCAAAATGAGAAAAATAAAACTAATAATTTCAATGTTGTTTTTTATTACTTTTTAAAGTTGTACAAAGGATGCACATGCATGAGTTAAAAAACACAAAGAAAATGCAGAATGTTAAAAAAAAAAAAAAAGAAATACAAAAGAAATCTGAGACATGAAACAAAACAATTCCATCCTGTGAATCCAAATAAAAAGATATGTGTCTTATTTAAAAAGTGTTATTCTAACATACTAAGAAGTCTTGATTAGAATATGACACAAGACCATTCTGCAACTATTCATTAACAGATCAGACTCAGTCTCACTGAGTATAGGATGGATTGTTACATTATCTTACCAGCCACAGGCAGGTTACTAAATGTATGTGAATATGATACAGTGTCTGTGAGGTATTACAATAAATAAATTCTTTAATAGCCAACCAATCAAGTTAGCAGTGGATATCTCCACTTCAAACTTTCCTTAGGGAAACACCATCTCCAGTCCTTCTTGTCCTCTGGTAATTTTCAATGAGGGTTTTTCAAACTTAGAAAAAGAGAGAACACAACAATATTTGAGATGTTGTGTTAAAAGGCAAAACTCTACACTTTATGTTTTTGCAACAGTCTGTGTACCGAAGATAGGCTGAGTTACAGACACTAAAAGGACAATGGATGTGGTCACACAAGAATTTATATTAAAGCATTTTAGAAAAGAATCAACTCTTCACATTTTCCTTTGTCTCAAGCACTGTTCTGCAAAGAAGGAACTGAAAGTGTTGATGCTGCTGATGCAGGCATGAGGCCCCCATCTGCCAGGACTCTGGCTGCCTCTGCTAGCCCAGCTGCATCAATGCCAGCTTCCCAGTGATGCCAAATCTGTCTACTACTTTTCCCTTTTTTACAAAAATTTTATATTCTTTTATTGAGATATAATTGACACATAACTTTATATTAGTTTCAGGTATACAACATAATGATTCAATATTTGTATATATTACAAAATGGTTGCTACCATAAGTCTACTTAACATCCATTATCACACATTACAAAATTGTTTTTTTCTTATAATAAAGAATTTTAAGATCTCCCTTTTCCCTTTTGTATGTAAATAATTAGAGCTGCTGCTACTACAATTGATGTTTATCTTTCTGTATTTCTGGGGCTGAAATATTCTCCTTTGATGATCTGAAAGAATTTAACAACGTGCTCCAACTTGAGGTACACCAAGCACTACTGCTTTCAATGACTGAATCGCATCTTTCATCGCAGAAGCTCCAAAAACTTGAGAGACATTCCAGTGCGGGGTCAGAGCATGTACTGGTACCAGACAGGAGGGCCTGCGGCCTGGCTCCACCACTCCCTGTCTGCGCACCTGGAACAGGTGCTCGCCCACCCTAGTCTCACCTGCCTCAAGCACAAATGGGGACAGCAACAGTACCATACCTCATAGGACTGCCACCCTCATAGCACACAGAAGTTAGGGTCTGTAATTAAACAACATTTGACACAGAGACATTCTGGGTAAGTAAACAAAAATGAATTCATACTTATTTACAAATTTGAGACTTTAAGGTATTTTCCATACTTCACAAATTTATACCCATACAGAAAATGTTAAGACATTTTACAGAAATTAAAATGTGACTGATAAATTCATATAAATAGGGCAAATCTGGCTACATATTCATACTCATATTCTTTGAATTTTACTTTGAATCCTCTAGAAGAAATGCTCCCTATTTCAGAACTTTGTTGTTACAGTTTCATTTTTAAAGACTTACTTTAACAAAAGTAGTACTCATAGCTCTAAAAGTGGTTTTTCACTGTCTTGCTTTTCTTCCATTTCTTCAGATCCTACACGGTAAGGAAGGGGAAGGAGAAAAAGAACTGCTTTCCATTAAAGTAATAAATGATTTCTTTAAAATTACAATATATACATAGAACATTTTAAGTGAGAGATACATGTTTAATCATCAAGAGATTTAGGCTAATAAAACTATAAATGTAAAACAAAGTTTCACTTTATTTCTTGTAGGAGGAAAACTTTAGGATCTATCACTTGCACTAGTCTATCAAAATAGATTTCACTCATCTACTATTAGAAATATTCATACAGACCAGGAATTATTATCCAGGCTATCACTCCTCCCTCCTCCTCTGTGCTGACAAGCTTGCACATATCTTTCAAGTGCAAATAAATAACTTGGAGCTTTGGTAAAATAATTTAATTTACATATTAAAAAAAAAAAAATCACTGTCCCAGTGAAAGAGCAGTGAGGACTTCCTAATGCCAAGGGTGATGCCACATGGCCACTTGTGTGTCCCATTGCCAGTGACCACTGTTATAACCGCTCTGAGTCAATGTCCAGTGGGCCTCATATTAGTTGTGCACTTGACCCAATCATTCCACTCTTGAATTATTTCCTTAGGTTACATCCCTGAGGAAATAGTACTTGTTTTATTTATTTATTTATTTTTTATCCTCACTTGAGGATATTTTTCCATTTTTTGTACAGATAGAGTGGGAGGGAGAGAGAGGAAGGGAGAGAGAGAGAGAAACATCGATGTGAATGGACACATCGAGTGGCTGCCACCCGCACGACCAACCAGGGCTGGGGACAAACTGCAACCGAAGTACGTGCCCTTAGCGGGAACCGAACCCGGGTCTCTCCGGACCGCAGGCCGACGCTCTAACCACTGAGCCAAACTGGCCAGGGCAATAGTACTTGTTTTATATCATGCAGATATTTTCCCTCTAAAAAGTAGAAAAAAAGTCTAAATCTGAGAGAAGTTAAAAATTATTACATTTCCACGAAATACCTTGCATCCATTAAAATTATATAATTTAAACATGAAAAAAATGCATGTTATAATGTAAAAGCAAATGTTTAATGAAAAAATGTAAAATCATATTTGATAAAAATAAAACACTAAATATGTGTATGCAAATCACAAAGACCAGAAAAAAACCACCAGGTGACTTACATACAGTCTGGATTCCCAAAGCTTCTACAATAAACCTAAGGTAAGTAACTATATAATTTTGGAAACAAGATATAAATGATATAGGCAGTGTGGCCACAATTACATAAATTACAAACACAAAACTAGTAGGAAAAAAAATTAAACTGTCAACACTGATGTTGCTGAATAGCTTAAAGAACAGATAATCTTTTATTCTGTTCTCTATTTTTATAAAAAGCATGCATTATTCTCACAATCAGGCACCAGAAACAAAAAGGAGCAGTGAGAAGACAAGGTAGCAGCTAGGGATATGACATATTCACACACAGAAGCAGCCTGCCTCACACTGCTGCCTAGATCGCAGTCAAAAATAAATCTGCTACAGGAGCATGAAAGGCTGAGAATCTTAAGTAAAGATTGTGTCCCACATCTTAACTTCACAAATGTCACATAATGAAGGTTCAGTTTGTGACAAAATAAATAGATAACGGCTTCACTTTTCAGCCTATCAAACTGCTGTAAAGCATACAGTCACTGGGGTGGTTCTTCTCACTCTAAAAGGAGTCGGAGGAAGATGGTCACACCAACTTCCTATTTCTGGGCTCACTTTCCACCTGTCAGGTTAACAGCATTTGAGTCACAAGCTGACATGTCTTGGTATTTGAGAATCTTATAAAGACAAACTTTTTGTTGTTGCTGTTAATCCTCACCCGAGGATATTTTCCCATTAATTTTTAGGTGGCTTGGAAGAGAGAGAAGAGAGAAACATCAATGTGAGAGAGACACATCAATTGGTTGCCTCCTGCAAAGCCCTGGTGGGGGGTCAGGGATCAGACCTACAGCCCAGGCATTTGCCCCTGACTGGGAATTAAACCTGTGATTGGTATGAGGGCCAATGCTCTAACCACTGAACAACTGGCCAGGCTAAAGAGAAATTTTTATTTTATTTTTTAATTTTTAAAAATTAATTATCTTAATTAATTAATTTTTGTTACAGATGTTTCTCCTTTGTCCCCCATTCATACCTTCCTCCCGATCCTGCCCCCTCCCTTCACAGTATTGTTGTCTATGTCCATTGGTTATGTAGATATGCATATAAATTCTCTGGTTTATCTCTTCCCCCCTCACTCCCTCCTCTGAAGTTTGTCAGTCTGAGTCCTACTTTTATGTCTATGTGTCTGTTTTGTTCATCAGCCTATTTTGCTCATTATATTCCACAAATAAGTGATATTTGTCCTTCTCTGACTGGCTTATTTCACTTAGCTTAACATTCTCCAGGTCCCTCCCTGTCATCTCAAAGGATAAGAGATCTTTCATTCTTACAGCTGCATTAAAGACAAACTTTTAATTAAAATTATAACATTTATGCTTTTCATAATTTAAAAGTGAATGCTATAAAAGCCTTCTGGTTATAGTTTAGTGAGATCAAGAAATCTCCTTGAAAAGCAACTGTAATAAACAAGACTATGTCAGCAGTTGGAAAATGACCAAACATACAATAATCTGAGAAGTGTTGATGCTTGAAAAACTGCAGAAATCTGGGAACAACAGTGGTAGTCTTGCCTGGAGCTGCTCCAATTCCTTCACCTCCCAACACCAAGCTTGATGGGCATAAAGATTCTTCCAGGGTAGGGCAGTTCATGAGGACTAACAGCAAAATGATGCAGTTGAAGGGAGCTCGCTTAATTTGGGGTGGGAGTGATGCAATGGTGAACCAACAAAATCAGTTGTGTGTGAGCAGGAAGGGCCAGAGGCTTTGCTTGTGTGAGTTTGTGGTCATGCTGCAGTAAGCACATGATTGGCTGAAGTTGCGTGCATGTTTAGTGGAGCCCCAAAAAAGCCCAAGCTAACCAAACACTCCTAGTCAGCCCTGAGGCTATGAGCATATGCAGAAGAGACATGAAAAGACTTAGAAGAAAGTTCAAGCTGGGGATGACTTGAAATAGACTAAAATTTGAATGTGCTACCCAACACATATATATATTAATTGGCAGAAGATGGAAGACTTAATCAAGGTGCTTGAGCACAATCTCTGTCCAGTCATTGGCTACCACTAAGCTATGTAGACAAAGGGGTGAACCCATGAAGCTCTGCTTAAAAATAAAAGCATTAAAAAGAAGATAAAAAATCAAGGAAATACATCAGCATCCACATACCACAAGGAACATAATTTCACAGATTTAGCCCAGGCAATTTTCTAAGCAAACAGACATTAATAACAACATTTTTTTGGGGGGGGAATCTGAATCTAGAGTTGACACAATATATTCTTCAACAAAAATTACAAGACAGAAAAGAATCAGAAAACAGATTATTCTCAGGAGGAAAAAAAACAACAAAAACTGCAACTCAATACAAACTATCTCTGAGTGTGTCCAGATAGTTTACTTAGCAGACCATGACTTCAAAGTAAGTATTGTAAATATAATATTTATATTTAGAAATGTGAACTTATGGATATACATAATCAAAGAAGTATATAACATCATGTTTAAAGAATTAAGGGAGGGAGAAAAAATGGCGGCGGAGTGAATGGAAGCTACACAGACCATATCCAAGGACCAAATTGGAATTACAATGAAAATAAAGACAAATCGTCAGAAAGGGGCAACCGAAAGGCAACTTGGAGGACCACATAACCAGGGACACTGACTCAATTCTGGTAGGCTTGTGAGGACGTGAGAGGGGACCGAGAGAGCCCATGGTCTGCAGCGGCCTGGGCTGGGACCAACGGACTCGGGGACAAGGGGCTCGGCTGGGTCCTGTGGCCTCGGCTGAGACCAGCGGCCGCCTCATCTGGGTCCTGCGACCTCAACAGGGTGCTACGCCCGAAGCTGGGTCCACCTGCATTAGCTGGAAGCTGCTGCTGCCTCGGCTGGGTCACGCGACCCGACTGGGTCCAGCGGCCTCGGCTGGGTGCTACGCCCACCACCGAGTCCTGCGAACCTGGCTGGGTGCTACGCCCTCGGCTGGTGCCACAGCCTCTGCCGCCCTTAGCTGGGAGCAGCGCCTTCGGGTTAAAAGACGCAGGCGGCTCCCCGACACAGAGTCCGGACAGAGGCTAAATTGGCAGTATCCACTCACCTTGGGATCCGGCAGAGGGAAGGCAGACTGGACTGGAACTGTGTGGGGACACTGGGGATTTGGAGGATGCTCAGAGCTTTTGCTGAGTGCAGCCACGCAGGACTGTGGTCATCTAACTCCTTCCCAGGGCTTTGGGGAGAGGCTGCGGCCCCTCCCTCGGAGATTCAACCCCACCCAGTGGCCATTGAAATGCTAATTGAGGCCCATTACAACCAGCATCTGCCCTACCCTAGGGAAATCCTCTCACACTGAGCACCTGAGGGAGTTTTTCAGGCAACTCAGAAACCAAGATTCTTCAAGTGACTGCTACTAATAGCCTCCAGGCAAAAAAGCTAGAGGATAACTACCATTCCCTGGGCTAGCAACTCTAAGCAGAAAAGTTAAGACTTGACAGTGGTGTTTAAAGTGGGTCCTCCTTGCTTCATATAAACCCAGGAGAGGGAGCCACAAACAGCAGAACACCAACACTCACAGTGAAAATTTGGCAGACTCCAAAGCCCACTGTGACAGCCAAAATGGTGCAAAACAGAAACAAAAGCCAAATGAAAGAACAAGAGACCTCTACCGAAGATAAGATAAATGAGGTACAGTTAAGCAAGTTAATAGAACTAGAATTCAGAACCATGATCTTGAGGAAGCTCAACAGCATGTGTAAGGACATGAGCACCATGAGTAAAGACATAGAAATGTTGAAAATCAACAAGGTGGAAATGGAAATTAAAAATCACCAAGAAGAAATGAAAAATGAAGTATCAGAAATGAAAAACACATTGGAAGGTCTAAAAAGCAGAGTAGAGGAAGCTGAG